GCCAAAAAAGCTAGACAGGTTGTTTTCAATGCAGCTTGGCACTGGTTCGAAACGCGCAGAAAGTTTAAGTCGATGGTTTAGTTACTCCGAAAGAGTTGGTTTGAGCTGGCCAGAACCTCCTTTGAGATTGTTAAATCAACATGTTCGAGAAAGACGATGTTCCTTAAAGTCTTCGTTGAAGCCTTTTAAGAATTATAGCTCTTTCAAAGCAACTGCCAACAACCTTGCAGGGAAGAAAACACCTCTACTTTCGGATTTAGATCTCAAGCCTCTCATGAATGTGCGAAAACCGTCATATGTAAAGATCATAAGCAAACAGATGGTTGGAGTTTTTCTCACCATTTGGGTCCGAAGGAGCTTACGCAAACACATACGAAACTTAAGTGTGTCTACTGTTGGTGTTGGCGTTATGGGTTACATTGGTAACAAGGTCTTCAATAATTCTCTTATTAGTTTGGTTAAGCTTGATTTATGACTACACTTGAGGATTGTAACAATTCATTTGGACTTTACAGGGAGCTGTGTCTGTGAGTATGTCAGTGTATCAGACACCATTTTGTTTTGTGTGCACACATCTAGCATCAGGGGAAAAAGATGGAGATCACAGAAAAAGAAATGCTGATGTAAGCGACATTCACCGAAGAACACAGTTTCATCCTCATTCTCTTAGTGCAACTAGACTACCGAGAAGCATCCGTGATCACGAGTATATGCTCTTCTCCTCGTAGTTGCACATTCCAAAAAACAATGTTTTCTTGATATAAACTTCTAACAAGACGAATGTTGTTCGACAGAAATATAATCTGGCTAGGAGATCTGAACTATCGGATTAACTTATCTTATGAGAAGGCGCATGAACTTATTGCAAGAAAGGATTGGAAGAGGTTAGCTGAAAAGGACCAGGTACGTTACTAAACATCGATAAGTTTAAGAAAGGATCATGACTTCACACTCATACCTTATTAATCGTTGGTAGCTTGTAAGAGAAATGAAACAAGGTCGTGTGTTCGAGGGATGGTCAGAAGGAACTCTAGATTTTCCACCAACTTACAAATACGAAATCGATTCAGAAAAATACGGTGGAAACGATCCCAAGTCCGGGAAACGGACACCAGCCTGGTATACCGCTCTCACACACACTACTACAAAACTTTTGTGATAACGCGTCAAAATTGAAATGATATGTACTTAGAACTGAATCTGATTCAGGTGTGATCGCATCATTTGGTATGGGAAAGGAATGAAGCTTATGAGTTACAGAAGAAGTGAAATTAAACTCTCTGATCACCGGCCGGTTACGGCTACATTTGTGGTAGAGGTTGAAGTTTTCTCTCCTCGGAAGCTTCAGCGTACGCTCACGCTCACAAACGCAGAGCTTAATAGCCATGAAGGTTTTGCACATGATTAGCTCTTTAATAAATCAGATCCATTCACTCCATTTTTCTTTGCAAATCACTTGCTATTCATACATTCTATTTGTGAAATGTCTCTTCAAAGAAACATATTCTTATTATATAATGTATAGTAGTATATCTTTATCTGAATGATGTATAGATGTAAAATGTGATCCCACGTTTTAGTTCAAAGGTTGTATCGACTATCAAAGTCGAGCTCAACGAATTTATTAGGTTACTTGTCTCCAGGTTTCGTAGCTGAATTAGTGAAATGCTAGTCTTTATGAACAAAATAAAAGACAATATGGAAGGTCAGATCCAAGTTCTTCTTCGGAAGCGAAAAAATTGTGTTGAAATGAATATTTTGAACCTCTCTTGTTACGATATCTCATGCGTTTCTCTAGTACCTTCCATTTCCAATAGTTCAATCTTTTGCTCGTCGTTTTGGCTGATTTAAGTAGAGCCAGATCTTAGTCAATGGCCCAGGTTGTATCTTGTTGACTCATGCTTGAATATTTCATTTAGTTGCAGACTGACAAGGAAGTGTTGATCTTCTAGGATCGGATCAGTCTAACATAAGTTTGCATTGGCGTGTTAGTGGCAAAAGCTGAAAGTTTCAAGCCCTTATGGTGCCAGATTGATTCATGCCACAATTCAAATATTGTTGAAGCGGTGCATTGCATCCTTTGTGGACCAAAACTAATTTTGCAATTTAGGATTTTTACATACTAATTTTGTATTTTATTTTTAAAAACTCATGCTTAACAAAATAACCACGACATGAATCGTTTATTTGGAAAATGTTGAAATGACTAATTGAATTAAATAAATTTCGAGAAACTTAAATTTGATGATTTTTTTATCGATAAAACGGAATTTAAAACTATTTCATTGGATGGAATTAAGAAAATGAGAATGAAGATAGTGATCTAAAATCTTGACTTTGAACTATTTTATTTTTATTTATTGTAAAATAAGCTATTTGGTTTTTATTTGTAGTTGAAGTATTTAAAATTTATGTATTAGATTTGTGTGGTTAATTATATGTTTTAATATTATATATAGTATATATATATATATATATATATATATATATTTATATACACTTCCAACACGTACCTATTTCTTAAAATTTCTAAAAAAATCGTTTTCACGTTTCCAAACGCTTCGCTTCCGCGTACCCGCTTCTGATTCCATGCAACCTAGATACGTACTTTAAAAAATTATATATAGTAAATGTCAAGTAAATCATAAATGAAAATGAGCTTGGCGGAGTAATTAACTGATTGTTAATATGAAAATGTAACGTACACGAAGTAGCTAGCGTTAGGCAGAAAGAAAATAGTGGACATAAAACTTTGTCACATCACATGCTTTGCAATCATGCACATCACCTTATAACCATCGACTCTGACCAAAATTAATATTTTATACTGTATCTTGTATTTATAAATTTATTTGAGGTTGAAATGTATATAATGATCTCATTTGGCATAAATTGAGTAGGCAAAGAAGCATAGTAGCAATAAATTGTAAGAATGAGGGGCATAATAAACTCCAATGTTTCACAAATAGATCGAGATAGTAGCATAAATTGTTGGTGCGGGATTTAACACCCCCGACAAACTCGACTTAAACCAAGAATAATTCCATCAATTAACCAGTAATCGGCCCATGGGTAAAAGTCCGCAAAGCTCGTAGCCGATTTACACGAGGAAAAGGGAAGACAAACCTAAGAAGATAATCTTGAAGATCCGAGAAAACAGGAAAAAAAAAACAGATTCAAGATCGAAGATTAAGGAAATAAGACATATCAAAAACCGACTACCCCTCTCTATACTTCTTCCAAGAAAAGGATTCGCAATTTCATACTAAAAACCTAGTTTTATATTCTTCTTTAACAAAACCCTACTTTTTTTTTTGAAATAATCTTAAATCTCTTTGTAATCAAGTTTTTGATCGAGATTTCAATAAAAAGAGTTCTTTTAATTTGTTTTCCCCCTTTAAACAAATTCTCACTACAAAAAGACGCTTGTTAACGTCATTTTTATGGAAGGTTAACGTCGGTTTATGACTAATGTTAGTATAATAAACCGACGTCTCCGAGCATGTTTCTTGCATGGATCTTTGGAAAAACCCTTGTTTCTACAAAACCAATAACGAGAGGAATTAAAAACATATATATGGTGAACACGCAAGAAATTTGTGCAATAGGTTTGCACTTAATTAGTAGGAAAACATGAACAACAAACAATTAATTATAATAACTAATAACTGAGATAAGTTTATAATGACAACTGAAAAGTGAAAACAAAATAAAACTAACGGCAAAATCTAACATTGACGTTTTGAGGAATGGGTGCTGAAATGTTTTATACAACCATTTCTACGGCACGGCATCTCCATATCAGTAAAATTAGTCCCACTCAATCAGTATTCTCACACGTGAAAAATGATAGTTTGCGTTTTCACAACTAAATAAGATTGCTTTGTTTTTTTAGATCAAGTTTTTATTTAACCATTATCCAAGCTAAGTGAACCTATTTGCTCACTTCCAATGTTTATTTTTAGTAGAAATAGGAGTAGATAAGTAGCAAATGTTCAATTGAATTTTTGTCAATAAAGTAAATTATACATGGGAATTAGGAAATGAAGTTTGTTTTTCTTTTCGATCATGTCAAATATTTCGTTGTTTATCTTGGCGAACTTGGATTTTGGGATAAATGAAAAATATGGAGTTTTTTATTTGACTATTAATTGTTATTTAACTTATTTTGCTTGTACATCCAAAAGTCTAGGTATGGAATCGGCGTATTTGATTTTGAGTCTTTTTTTTTTTTTTTTTTTTTTTTTTTTTTTGGGCAAAATTTGATTTGATTTTGAGTCTTTGACCCCTTTTTAACCAAAAACTTGTAGGATCTTTTCATATTCAATTTCTTTAAGTCAAGTTTCAGATACATACCTATACACAATTTTGGATCGTTAATTACGAAGTATTTTTACATTTCTACAACAATATATTTGCGTAAGACCTTCCAAATTTATGGATATTACAGGACCTATAATAAGTATTTGTTTCTTAAGAAGCCGATTTAAATTGATATAGGTTTTAACATATTGTTTATCAGTTTCAATAAAAAACAACAATAACAAAAAAAAAACCATTAAAAAATTAAGTAGTGATTCGATATTTTTTTGTTTTGCTGTAAATGAACCAGAACCACGCCTTTCTAATGAAATTATATTAAAACTCCTACACTAATAAATAACGATTTATAAACCTCCACAAATGGAAGAGAAAAAATAAAGTATGGTGGTTAGAAAAAAAGGATATGATGTGAAATGTCAATAACTACAACTTGCTATATCGAAAACCTTTAATTGTAATCATCGAAACTTAATTATTGTTAGAGAACATATTAACAGTGCAGCCAAAATTACCCTAAAATTACGTGAAACATCTCATGAAATGAAATTACGTACCCAACTTAACTTGCATGGGATATCTATAAATACCCTCATGAACCACATTTCATGCAAAATCAAAACACACTCAAACCCCATTTCAAAAGAGAAACATTTCTAAAAACAGTTCTAGTAATAAAAATGGGCAAGCTCTTGGTGTTAATGTTAGTTGGGATGTTCTTGGCTTTTGAAAGCTTGGAAGCTCTTGACTATGGAGATGCACTAAACAAGTCAATCTTGTTCTTTGAAGGCCAAAGATCCGGTAAACTCCCGACTAACCAACGGGTTAAATGGCGTGCTGATTCTGCCCTCTCTGACGGTGCATCAGCTAATGTAAACCAATTATATTCATAAACATCTCTATATGCCTAAGTTTTGGCATTATGCTATCTCTTAGACTTAACCAATTTTCTTGTGTTTTTGATTTTCCAGGTGAATTTGATTGGAGGATATTACGATGCTGGTGACAATGTAAAATTTGTGTGGCCAATGTCATTTACCACAACCTTATTGAGTTGGGCTGCAATTGAATACCAAAATGAGATTACTTCCGTAAACCAGCTTGGTTATCTCCGGTCTACTATCAAATGGGCAACCAATTTTATCCTCCGCGCTCATACTTCGCCCAACATGCTATATACTCAGGTAAGCCAACTTTTTCCCCCGGTTTACACGTCTAAACCAAACCGAACTGTCACATTTTGGTTTGTTTGAGAATTATTCCAAAATATTTCATTTCATGCTGAATATCCAAAATACAGTATGTATATATCTCGTTTCTTATATACTATATACCTCTATAATATTTTTACAAATTCACTATCGAAATTCGAGTAATTATTTTTTTGTTTTGTTTTATAATGGATATAAAAAAGGTGGGAGATGGAAATTCAGATCATAGTTGTTGGGAGAGGCCAGAAGATATGGACACACCTAGAACTCTCTACAGTATCTCTTCCTCTTCCCCCGGTTCCGAAGCCGCGGGTGAAGCCGCAGCCGCTCTTGCCGCGGCCTCACTTGTTTTCAAACCGGTCGATTCTACTTATTCATCCAAGTTACTCAACCATGCTAAATCCGTGAGTATATATTCATATTTAGTCCATAAAAAATCATTACATCAATTCAATCATAAGGTAACGTATAAATTATCTATTTTGTGGTAGCTATTCGAATTTGCGGATAAGTACAGAGGTTCTTACCAAGCATCTTGCCCCTTCTACTGCTCACACTCAGGCTATCAGGTAATTAAACTGATACACATAGATATATTTTCATGTTTACGTAAATGAGTTACTTAACAAGACACTTTATGTTATTAAACATTTTGGGGTAAAAATAGGATGAACTTTTGTGGGCTGCGGCTTGGTTATACAAAGCAACAGGGGAAAAGAGTTACTTAAATTATGTTATAAGCAATAAAGATTGGAGCCAAGCCGTGAATGAATTTAGCTGGGACAACAAATTCGCCGGTGTTCAAGCTTTACTCGCATCGGTTAGTATATATTTCCTCCGTTTTAAATTATTTGTCATTTTAGAAGATAAATTTTGTTCCAAATTAGTTGTCGTCGTTTTAAATTTTTAATGCATATTTTTAACAAAATTTTCAATTTAATCTCTAATCTCTTAAGCTTATTAATTGATGATATCATATAAAACAATACATTAATTAATTAGAGGTAAAATAGAAAAATTGAATGTTTTCTTAATAAGCGTGAAAAAACCTTAAACGACAACTAATTTTAAAAGGAGGGAGTATTAGCTAAACCGATTTCGCTAAATTCTATAACATTAATTAGTTGATCTAAATTAATATTACTTGTTATTTTCTTATATTAAGGAGTTTTACAACGGGGCAAATGACTTGGAAAAATTTAAGACCGATGTTGAATCATTCGTCTGTGCATTGATGCCAGGAAGTAGCTCTCAACAAATTAAGCCAACTCCTGGTAATGTTCACCGGTTACTTGGTTTTGAGTTTTTTTCCCCTTTGGTGTTGGTTTTATGGTATCATTTATTTGTACTTTTTGTTTATTCAGGTGGCATTTTGTTTATTAGAGACAGTAGCAACTTACAATATGTAACAACGGCTACAACTGTTTTGTTCCATTACTCAAAAACTCTTACCAAAGCCCGGGTTGGTTCAATCCAATGCGGTTCGACCCAGTTCACCGCATCTCAAATTCGAAATTTCGCCAAATCACAGGTAAACAAAATTAAATTATCCCCACCTAGTCCGGTTCTGTACACCATTTCCATGTTCTTAACCAACCGGTTTAATATTCAGGTTGATTACATTCTTGGAAATAATCCATTGAAAATGTCTTACATGGTTGGATTTGGAACAAAGTACCCAACTCAACCTCATCATAGAGGCTCGTCATTACCGTCAATCCAATCTAAACCGGAGAAAATCGACTGCAATGGAGGATATTCATACTACAATTCTGATACACCGAACCCGAATGTCCATACCGGTGCAATCGTTGGCGGACCGAATTCATCCGACCAGTATAGCGACAAAAGAACAGATTATTCTCATGCAGAGCCCACAACTTACATCAACGCCGCCTTTATTGGGCCCGTCGCTGCTCTCATCAGTTCTTCCCGACAAACCCACGTTTAGATTTGGTTGTGGGGAAACAAATATTAGCAAGGAAGAATGACTATTCATCAACAACTATCAAGACTATGAATTTGAATAAATAATCAGGGGATGCATCATTTGCTTTAAATACATTTATCTATGTACACACTCACATATAATTGAATCGTATAGCTTAGCTAAATGAAAACGATTTAATTTCAACTATCTATATTGGTTCTTATTTCATTGTATCATATCATTGTATCGTATAGATATTTTATGATTAATTTTTTTTTTTTCTAAACTTGTAAATATCATATAAAATGAAAATAGGTGTTACATGGGTTAAGACCATCTCCAATGTAGAGCTCTATATCTTACTCTAAAATAGAGTAACTCTATTTTAGAGAAGGGTTTCTCTCCAATGTATATCTCTATTTTCTACTCTAAAAAAGAATATTCTTAGAAATATTCTATATCTATTTTATATACTAATGCCTTTTAATTATATAATTTACAATTTGACCCCATATATTATAGATTTGCAAAATTCCCATAAAATATGAAATTATTTAAATTAAACACTAATTATTTATTAAAAAAAAAACATTACATCATATAACAATAATAAAACATTACAAATTTTATTTTAAATAACACCATTAGAATATTTTTCCTACATATGATCAATTAAAGCATTTCGTAGTGAGAAATGAGCTTCTTTATCTTTGATTTTTTAAAATTAACCAAGAAACTCTTGAAACCGGATATTATGCTTTGAATGAGCTGAAGGAAGAAAACAAAATAAATGTGATTTGAATTCCTTTCAAAACCCAAATGTTCGGGCATATTTTGAGAGTGAACAAGCACGGATTTTACAAAAACGACGTGTCCAACAACAAGATCAAGATAAAAAAAACTCCTCCTCCATCTACTTCATTTGGACAATATTTTAACTATCTTGGCGGATCTACAAGCAATTTACCGGACTATTAAATTACTAGTTTTATGTTTTAGTTTTCTTATGTTGTTTATTTTAAATTTAGTACTTGTTTGTTTGTTAAGTTTATAAAGCTATGTGTTGTAATTGTTGTTTATAGAATGATTATATGTATTAAATAAAAAAGTTTAAATTTGAGGGACTAAAGTATAAATAAAAAAGTTGAACTCAAAAATAGAGTTGAGAATAGAGTTGCTCTATATATAGAGTCAATCTGCAGAAATCTCTATTTTAGAGTCAATTATAGAGTAGAGTTGGAGGAGAATTTTGCATTTTTACTCTAAAATAGAGTAGGGTTGGAGATTCCCTAAGACCTAAACGTTTGAGCTCTGCCGAAAAAGGTGTAAAAAACATAGCACAGTTACTCATTCTCAGATAAAGTGAAACAATGGATCCCTTAGTGAAGCCATAACGCCAAAACAAGCTTCTTATGATATAACTAGTACTTATTTAATAAATGGTTTTCTGCAAAACAACCCTTTAAATCAATTTTGTTTGCAAGTTTATCCTCCAAGTTCGAACTATGCAAGTCAACCCCACAATCTCAAAAGTCACCCGCAATACAACCCTCCCGTGTAGCGATGACGTGACACCCGATAACTCCGTTTGAAAACATAAGGGATTTTTGCAAAAAAACCTTCCATGTAATTTTTTTTTGCAAAACAAACCTGCATGTCAAATAAATGCAGGTCAAACAACAATCTCAAAAGTCACCTGTAATATAGCCTTTCCGTGTATCGATAACGTGACAATCGATAACCTATTTTATGTAATATAGTATGTAGGAGTATCATGCATCTCGAGCCTCAAATTAGTTAATTCTTCCATCATAGGCTCATCCCACCATTTCTATATGAGAAAGCCCTAGATGGAAGAATTAACTAATTTGAGGTTCGAGATGCATGATACTCCTACATACTACATTAAATAAAATGAGTTATCGATTGCCACGTCATCGATACACGGAAAGACTATATTGCAGGTGATTTTTGAGATTGTGGTTTGACCTGCATTTATTTGACGTGGAGGTTTGTCTTCCAAAAAAAACATTATATGGAGGAGTTTTTTACCCCTTATGTTTTCAAACGGAGTTATTAGTTGCCACGTCATCGCTACACGGAAGGGAAGTATTGCAGATGCCTTTTTTTTTTGAGGTTTATCTTGCAAAAAAACATTATATGGAGGTTTTTTTTGCAAAAACTCCTTATGTTTTCAAACGGAGTTATCAGGTGCCACATCATCGTTACACGGGAGGGCAGTATTACGGGTAACTTTTGAGATTATGGGATTGATTTGTATAATTCGGACTTGGAAGGTAAACTTGCAAACGAAATTGACTTAGAGGATTGTTTTGCAGAAAACCCTTTAATAAATTAATGTTTTCACGTTAGTCTCTCAAGATCTAGAGAACCCATATGACCTTCTTGAGTTTGGTATACGTAAGTGGAGCATAGAATCAGCTGCGTTCCTCGACCATGACCATTTTGTAACTTGCGTTTATGATTTCTAAAGATTACGATAGCTCATATATAGCTTCAACAAAAAATATTTATATATACCAAGGGTACCTACAAAAATATCTGAAGATTACAATAGCTCTTGACATTGTTATTTTCTGTTTGAAAAAGAGAAAAAAAAAATTGGATCTTTAATTTCTCGATTTGTGCATGTCATCCTTGCGCATGGGCCATGCGAATCTTCTCAGTATCGTTCCATTTTTAACGGATGTCCTCGAAGGGATAAGCTATGTGTGTCATGTGGATGCATAAGAGTTGTGTTGACACAGCCGATATGGGATGTTATAGCAAACAAGGCATACATAAATGATTAACTAGACAAAGAATTTCTTGATGAGCTGATTAGGCTGTCTAGTTTTGCTACCATCGGCTGTTAGAGGATCATAGCTAGCCTAGGTTTTAATTAAAATCTCGCAAAGAGGTCACATGATTCTTTCCGGGAACTATGGCCAAATTAATAACAAGAATAGAATAAGCGTATTCATGATATAAAACCAATGTCTCTCTTGAGACCTCTTTGTCAATTGTCTCCCAGAAAGAGTGGTAAAAACCCGCAGAAAAACCGTCTGGCCCGGGAGCTTTGTCAGCATGACTATCTAAGACAGCATCATGGATCTCTTTTTCGTTTGGCATGGCTGTAAGCTTAGTGTTCATGTAGTCAGTGATATGTGGCTGTGACAATGAAGCTGACGTGAAAAGATTTTCATAAAAGGCCGAGACTGACGCAGCTATTTGTTTTTCTTCAAACAATTCAAGTCCATCCTCATCTTCTATCACTGAGAAGTGATTCATAGCTTTCCTTCTTCTTGTTACAACATGGAAGAAACTAGTGTTCTTATCTCTTTCCTGCAACCATAAAATTCTGCTTCTTTGACGCCATAGAGATTCCTCTTCCACGTAGGCTGCAGCAAGCTTAGCCGTGAGAATGCTTATCAAATCATTATCAGGCACTAACGCCGATAATGCAGATTCAAGGGCTTCTTGGTCCTCTTTAATAGCTTGTACTTTTAATTGTTTTTGCTCTTTTGTCCAAGAGATCAACTCTCGACTGCACCGATTAAACTTTGATAACAGAGTCTCTGATTCTCTGGCTCTCCAAGCATCTGAGACTAGATTCCTGATTTCTTCCTTTCCTCTGAGCCTTCTATTGAATCTGAACAAACCTTTAGCTTTAACCTTTGTGGGATCAAAGTAAGTAATAAGCGGCCTGTGGTCTGAACCTTCGAAGCGAAGGTACCTGCATCTCCCTAAGGGAAATTTTTCTTACCAGGCTATGTTTGCAAGAGACCTATCCAACCTAGAGAGGATGAAATGAGAATGCCTTTGTCCTCGCCAGGAGAGCATATTTATTACCTGAATGTTGAACGTCCCATAGCCTGTTTTCGGATAAGAAACTACGGAAAGGTATGAAAGAACCCTCAGCTCTAACCATTGGCGGAGGCAATGAAGAATCATGGGGGTCATGTGACACCCATGAAATTATGATTTTCAGTTTAACTTTTGTTAAAATAATTATTTGACACATGTCCAAGTAGTTATTGACACCCCTAACAAATTTTATTGACCCCTTTCAAATCCATGACGGTAGTTTAAAGATTAATATTTAACATTCTAAAGTTTGAAGTTTGATAATATTTATCACAAAACAAGTTTAAAATATAAATTTGCTACTAATTTTCTTTACTGTTTGGCATATTAACATTATCGTTGGGCATTTTTTACAAACTGTTGGGCTTTAGCGAAATTTTAATTGATTTTGTTGCTTAATTTTTTTTTTTTTTTGTCATCCGAAATTAATTAAAGCTCAAAAGAGCCATTCCTGAGGAATATTGTTTACATAGGTGATATGAAGCGGTTCTGTACGAACTTTTCGTGCCAGATTATCCGCTTTAACATTAGCCCTACGAGAAATTAAAGATAAAGAAAAAGATGAAAACTCCTCCTTGTCGGTCTGAAATTCCTCCAAATACACTGAAAACGCCGGCCATTCGGTTGGAGAAGACACCATCTTCACCAGGTCTGAACAGTCTGTAAAGAACGCTACCTCTTGATGATCTGCACCAATCATACATTTCATTGCCCAGAGAAGGGCTTCGACTTCGGCATGTAGTGGAGATAAACTTCTACGGAGGTTCGCAGCTCCCATGGTTGGCGGTTCTCCATTTGACGATGTACAGAACCATCCTGTACCAGAAAACTTATCACTTTCTTTCCATGATCCATCCACAAAACAAAGGTATCCTGAATAATTCGACTCAAGTAAAGCATCTCTCACTCGAGTTCGAGTCACCAAGTCCATAGAACCATGATTTTCATTAAGGAGCTCAATTTGAGCTGATTGCCACAATTGTGCCTCTTTTTCCGCTAATCGTAATACCTCTATTGGGTCTTTATCTATATTTTCAAATATCTTTTCATTCCTTGCTTTCCAAATATACCAAATAATCCATGGGAAGGCTGATGAATCAAATTCTGAAAGTATTCTCCAAAACAAATGATCCAAATTCGCAAAATTAGATTCTGTAGGAAAAATCCTTACAGCCGTAGGAATCTATGAAAGCGCCCAAATCTGCCGTGCAGGGTGGCACTGAAAAAGTGAATGATTGACTGTTTCCTCTACTGCGCCACATCTGGCACATCCCGTGTCACAATCAATTCCTCTTTTTCGCAAATTTTCCGTAACCGGTACACAACCCGTTAAGATTT